ATTTGGTTGCCATTATTTTTTATAACAATTTTGTATTAAATATAAAACGCAAAATCCAGAAAAATTAAAACAGAATTTCTAGGGGAAAACACATTGCATAGGACTCTAATAGTAGTAGCAGTAGTAGTAGTAGTAGTGGTATTTATTTATTTATTTATTCAATTGATGAGCTGATTATTGAAATTGAATTAAACCATTAAAACTGAATCTAGAAAAAAAGAAAAAGAAAACATGGAATTTGGGATAAATTAAAACAGAATTTGGAGGAAAGAATATAATGGAAGTCATAAATCCGTGTATCATTCGATCATTCGTTTTTTGATTTAATATTGAAAGTAGAAAAATTAGAAAACGGCTCCTATTTCGTTTTTTCGTTTTTCTCCAAAAAACGAGAAACGAGAATTCAGCTTAAATTTTCGTTTTTCGTTCATGGGTGGAAAAATGAATAAACAGCTTGAATATTTGATTTTTACAGGTGGGCGGGAATTAAACGCCCCTTTCTGCTGATTGGTCAGCCGAAGATCAAACCGCGCCATCTTCAGTTCTACATTTTTCTATTTTCAATATTAAATCAAAAAACGAATGATCGAATGATACACGGATTGTCATAGGGCCCTACAGCTTGTTTGAGGTCATCGGGAAGGAAAGGATGGCAGGTATGAGTGAAGTAACAGAGAAATCTGTGAACTTGAGGGCCATCGTAGGGCTGAGGGTGGGAAACTTGGGTGTGGCTCCAGGAATGCATGCCGCCCACAATGAGAACTGGAGGTCTGTGGGAGCCCAGCTGGAGTTGGCACACAGGACGACAGTCATGGATTAGAAACACATGTCTATCTTATTGACGGACCCCCCACCCCTTTCACATTCCCTCCTCAACTGAATATCTGCAGTGCCATGACCCAAAGTTAATAAACAGCTTGGAAATACATGTGGTTAGAGCTGTCTGCTTGGGTAAATGTTATGGAAGCACTTATGGACACACAATCAAACACACTTTCAATACAAAAAAATATTCCATTAACATATTGTGTTTCGTTAAATTATGCTTTCATTTTTGTGTTTGTCTCTATAGGATTTAAGAGAACGAGCATGAGTTTTTATTGGGAAAACTCCCAAAGCAATGAAAAGTGGGCCAACAGTAATTCATATATGCCCCATGAGAAAGAAAAAATTTAAAAAGGAGTCAATAAATTATGAATTTTCCCTGCAATAGTTCATGTTACATTGAAAGCACGTCATCATGTTGGGACACTTACTGCAATGGTGTGTAGAGCTCCAAGGAGACTCTGATTAAAATATTGGCGAATTGAGATGTGTGCAGCGCTGCAGATGTTTGAGTGAGTGCGTGTGAGTGTTAGTGGTTTGCCCTGTGGTGGTTTGTGGAATAGCGTCATGCTTTAGCTCATTAAGTGTGATAAAGTGTCAGATTGAGATACCTTAACAGCTAGTGTGTGTGTGTGTGTGTGTGTGTGTGTGCGTGTGTGTGTTCTTGTACATATGTTTCTGTTTGTGTTGATAGGTTTGAAGCCATCTAGCATGGCCTGCGAACCTCCCTTGCCAAAATTTATCACAGTAACCATGGTTTCCACCAAAATACTACAGCTGTGTCTACAATATACCTGTGTAGAATTTGGTATTAGACACCACAGTCATGAAAAATAAAGTAAGCAAAATGACAGAAACCTTCAGAAAGCGTTTGGAGGAGATACAGAATTAATTTATTATGGTATTAGAGTTTTAACAGCTGTAGTAACTACAATTTAGCATTTTTGCTACTGTGTAACCAAGATGTTGTTATACTTTTGCTAGAGTGGGTTTTGTGTTGCTTTGCAGTGGTTTTAGCATGTTGTGGCTGTTAGCCTGTAGCTAGGAAGTTGCTAAGGTATTCTGGGCCATTACGTACTGTCTCAAGTCAAAAGAGCACACTTTTAAAAATAAAGGTGCTTCACGGTGCCATAGAAGAACCTTTTTGTTTAAATGGTTCCATAAAGAACCTTTAACATCTGAAGAACCTTTCTGTTTCACAAAAGATTCTTTGTGGTGAAAGAAGGTTCTTCAGATTACAAAAAGGTAAGAAAGAGATGGTTCTTTAAAGAACCTTTGACTGAATGGTTCTTTGTGGAACCAAAAATGGTTCTTCTATGGCATCGCTTGAAGAACCTTTTGAAGCACCTTTATTTTTAAGAGTGCAGTGTACATTTTTTTTCCTGTTTTTCCTGAAAATTCTGTGAAAAATTGTCATAATTGGATTTCAGATGTCATTTATGTTAATAGCACAAATGGTATTAATTACAGTTTTAAGAGTTAAACTTAAGCAATAGTAATAGTTATGCCTGTCGTATCTCATTGTATATACACAAGGAAAGTAAGGTTGTTGCTGGAGGTATTTGTTTTTGTGTGCGTGCGGTATGATTTCCCTGGATGAATTTCGGGTCTGAATCAAAAATCAGTCGTTCTTAACACAGGCTCAAAACGTTCCTCGCATGAGTGAGATTCAGCACTTTGAGTTCAGGGCAACCTGACTAGCAAAACAAACAGAGCTAATGCCAAGCAGAGTCTGCTCATAAAATCAGCATGGATATTCCACCACGCTCCAAAAGCAGCACAAAAATTCCCAACGTTATTTGGCTTCGCTGTTTTATGATGGCGCTGCTTGTTATTTTAGAGTTCGGCCTAAACTGTGAGGGGGTTTAATGCAGGGCGTTTCCCACTGTCTCAGCTGAAACACACACACACACAGACTCATTGTTTTTGAGATAGGGCAGGGGAGAGCTGCTTGCTCAAACATTTAAAGTCTGCCGCAAAAGCTGTGATCTTTTCTGCTGCCTCGATTTCGGTCTGTCCTTCACAATGGAGCCGCTTGTGTTGTGCTGCCATTATCAGTGCTGGCCAGCGTGTGCGTGTGTGTATAATAGGAGGGTGATGACAAGGCTGCAGGTGTAGACCCTGCCTTCTCTGCAGGTGGAGGAGAAACACTTTTACCCCACCTCACTACAGCTCAAAGCACAATGAGATCACAGGGGCCAAAAACTCTTCTCCTCTTCTCTTCTCTTCTCTTTTAATTTTTTCTTATGTAATCTTTTATTAATAATTTATGATTTGGCAAGAGATTTTATATAATTTAGAGAAAATTGGTGTTTATAAGAACAACTTGTATTGATGGAGAACAGCTTGTTTTAAAATTGTAAAACATTTTGATTTTGGAAAAATGCACACGCACGCGCACACACACACACATTGTTCATTTTATTTATTAATTCTAATTTGTATTTGTATTTTTTTCATTTGTATCTTATTTTTAAATACTTTTGGAATTTATTAGTGACTATCTCATTCAAATGTCTTCTGTTTTCTTGTCTTGCTTGTCTCTTCTCTTTTCTTTTTTTGATCTCTTCTTTTCTTTTCTTTTCATGTCTTATCTTTCCTCCTCTTTAAACAATTAATGAACAATTTATGATTTGGTTAGAGATGTAATATATTCTAAAGAAATGACACACACACACACACACATATTTATATATATATATATATATATATATATATATACAGTATATACATATTTTCTGTTTATCAACTGTCTCTTCTCTTCTGATGTCTTTTCATCTGTTGTTTTCTTGTTTCTGTCCTCTTCTTTCATCTAATCTTTTCTCTTTGGCATCATGTCCAATTAGTGTTTTTCTGAATAATTATAGTCTTGAAATGGCTATTTTATTCTGAAATCTTTGTTTTGAAGACTTGATCCCTTGTTTGATGTCTCATTCTAAACAACAGACAAATAAGAACAAACAACAGCTTTTAAATAATCTATTCGGCTACAGAATACGTAATGTACTGTTGAGCTGTTTCAGCAGCTTGTTTTTTATTTGTTTATCTGGTTCTATGCAATATATGTGCTTATTTACGCACAAAGCATCCTCTGCGGCCTGTGATACAACAGCTTTCTATTGTTCCACAGAGCAGCTGAAATATCGCAGTGCAGGTGAGAGCACGCGGAAGAGAAAGTGTTCATTTTTCTCTGCCAAACTAACATACTTTCAGAGGTGACTGTAGAGTCATATCGCCGGAGGGCAGGATTACTCCGAACAGTTGTCTGGACTCCACAAAGCAAAAACTCCTCCTCCTGCATCTATCATCGCTCTCTGCCAGATCCCATCATCCAAGGAGTTTGCGCTCGCTTTAAATTACTTTTTCTGGTTGCCGAGGAAACCAAATTAAGTTTAGCTTAGCTGTGGCATATGGGAATTTGTTCAACTGGAGAGCAAAATTTCCTACTCTTCAAGTGTGTTCGGAGACTTCAGAGAGGTGTTCCACACCCTGCAATTCATATTGCCGTCATGACTGAGCGAGAACATTGAAGTGTTTCGCTTCAGCGCCTGCCATCCTGCTTTGCACTTTTGTAAGAGAACTATTTTGAACTCTCCGCTTGCCTTTTGCATGAACCGGCCCCTCAGGGTCGTAGAGGAGCCTTCTCGCTTTGCTTTCCACGTTTGGTAAGAGATAGTAAGCGAGATACACACTTCAGTGAGCACCAAAAATAAACAAACAATGTTTCGAAACAATTCGGCTGGCGCAGTCAACGCCATTTAAGTTATTTACTGTCTCAATCAGGTCATTTATTATTTTGCAAATATTAAACAAGGTGCTTTGAAGACCTGCCAGGGAAGTTGTTTTGATGGTGGGGATTTGAGAGGATGCCCGTGCCAAAAGTGGAGTGTCGAAGACATAATGGAAGGAGGGGGGCTTGCAGGAAGTCGAGGGTTGTTGAACTTCAAAAGGTCATTGGATATTCCTCCACTGCTCTGTGGGCTCGGTGTGGGTGTGATACCTGTGGTGTAACATTTCCCTCTCTGTTCAAAACACACTCCACATTCTTTGCCGAGGTCATGACCTTTCCATCAATCGTACTGCGGTTGACCTATGGAGGTATCCGTCCATTCCTCCCTCTCGACTAGCTGACTGATCTTTTATATTTTTCTGTGTTTGTTCCCTCTCCTCCACAGCCCCGACGGAACCGCTGCTGTGCAAGTTTGCAGATGGAGGACAGAAGAAGAGGCAGAGTCAGAGCAAGTACCCTCAAAATGGCCGACCGTGGCCTCGGGAAGGAGAGGTGAGCATTGGCATCCTCAAAGACCTACTAATATCGGTCTATCTATCTGTCTGTCTATCTATCAATCTGTCTGTCAATCGATCTGTTCATAAGCCCGTTCATAACTTGGCTTTTTAATAAAAATTGCATTTATATTAATTTTATATATTTTTCATTCTACTTCCTAACATCCTGTTTGCTGCGTCTGTTCAAATTCAATTCAAATGCAGCCATTGGAATTCAGCTTCAATTCAGTTCCAAATGACACACAACCTGATCCTATGTACTTACCTTTTCCACGCCAGCTTCTGCCCTATTTTCCCCCCACATTCCCTTTCCCAGAATACCCAGCTTTGAAGAAGGGAGTATGTTGGAAACAACCCCTTTGTTTCATACTTAGGATGGAAGAAAGGGAGGCGGGAGAAAACATTTGATTGATGGAGTCATCTGGCCATGTTTAAGTTCCCAGTCTTTCACTCAAGTCCTTTAATCTCTCCTCTCCTGTTCTTATTCTTGCAAAGCAAGTCGCGCTGTCTGGGTTGGCTGATGGGAAAACAACTGGCATTTTCTGGGCAGCCCCAGCTGCTGGCATGACGTGGCAGTTTAGCGAAGCATGCCCAGATACTGGCCAGACCGTGATCGCCCATTATGGGGAGCTAGCAGCCGCCATGATTTGGCTGCACTCTCTCATGAAGGCATATTTCAATATGCAACCCCAGGGGTCCACATTAACTAGATAGAGTGTCCAGTCACACGTAGGTTAGGTCGATGGTTTTCCCACCAGTCTCCAGGTTTTCTCCCCCACTGAGGAAAACTTGGCGCCTGACAAAGCTGCAGTATATGAGCATTGTTTATCTGCTCCAGTCCAATACGGGTCTAAGCGGTCAGCTTTCCCCCCTTATTCACTTAGCTAGTGTGGCTCTGTCAACATGAGCTATGCTTTCTGCAGCCTTGTAAATACCAAATAACTTCGTGCAGTATTGAATCCGAGCCTGTCTGGTATTACAGCCCAGCGCTCTGAGGTAATAGATCCAGAGCTACAAGTCTCGGCCATGTGCTTTTAAAGATATAAGGACCACTTGGCCGGCCCCTATTAGATGACCCTGTTCTATTGCCAGCATTACTCAATAGACTTTATAGGATACTTGCTTCACCAGAACAATCTTTCACTCTTTTTCCTGTCTGTGTTGTGTTTCAGAGTGGCATGGCGCTGACCTATGATCCCACTGCAATGCAGAACGGGTAAGACTCTCGTTCATTTGTTGTTTTGAGTTTTCAATGCTTGTTAAGGTTGTCCGAGGGTAAAACGATTAACTTAAGCAGTAGCAGTGAATCCATCCTCATACCAGTGATTCCTGCTAAAAAAGACCAGCAATACAACAAAACGTACATTGTTGTGTTTTGATGATATTGTTATTATGCTAGTCTGAGGCTTCCTGTAACGTCTGACATATTAAATAATATATTTTATGTTTTAGAAAGAAGTTTCTTGTGATTTTTTTATCAGAAATACAGTAAAAGCAGTAATATTGTAAAATATTACAATTTAAAACAGCTGTTTTCTATTTGAATATATTTTCAAATGTAATTTATTCCTGTGGTGGCAAAGGTGAATTTTCAGCATCATTACTCCAGTCTTCAGTGTCACATGATCATTCAGAAATCACTCTAATATGCTGATTTGCTGCTCACAAACAGTTAAATAATTTTGTGAAACAGGATTTTTTGATGAAAAGAAAGTTCAAAAGATCAGCATTGATTTGAAATAAAAAATATTTAGTAAAGTGTTTACTTTCACTTTTAATGCATCCTTGCTTAATACAAGTATTTATTCTAAGTATTTAAGACTCCAAATTTTGTTTTGTTTTTATTTTTTTTGGTAGTTTATAAATATGCATATATAAAAAGACATACAAAATATCAGTATATCTTAGTAAAATTGTTTAAATTTGAAATGCATTTAATTATTCAATGGTTTTATTATCATTTTATGTGGGCATAATACATTTTGAAATGCATTATAATTAGGATTAAAATAATATGCCTCAAATTCTTGCTTGGTATTTGTATCATATTTGATCAGTTTTCAAACCAGTTTTTTTATTAATAATGTTTGAAAGATGAACAGTTGCTTGTAAATATACATTTTGACTATCAATAACTAAATACAAGTTAATTTAATTTATCAACATTTCACAAAAAAAAAACATATATCAACACAAAGGTGGACATTTTGGAAAAGGTAACTAAAAAAGTCCTTCTACTTCCTGAAGTATATGAATAATCCAGAGGGCAGAAAACATGTGGTACATCATATTCAAAAGCTTTTTTTCAGGAAGGTACTGATCATGTTAATGAGACATATGGCTTTAAAGGGTCAATTAGCTTAACCACCAAGACTTCCTTGACTAACCAGCAATCTGGTCTATTCAGCAGTGTTAACAACATCTGAGGTGCAGTGAGTAGGCATAATACTGAGCTCTTGTTGAACATTGTTGCACCGAAGAGTGTAAGAGTTTCGTCAGGTGCTGGTTTCAGGGCAGGAAGATGGGTACTGGACTAGGGGAAGTAAGACCATTTCTATCTGTCCGCTTCAGTGGACGGAAGGCCCAGGGCTCTGTCTCTGATCCGGCACTCTGGGGAAACAGTCATCATCGTACCTTGGTTACCAGCTCCGGCTCCTTCTGCACCCCTGACTCAGCACTTGCTGTCTGCAGGAAAGGGAATGAAATAAGGAATGACAAAAAATATGCAATCGGGGAAAAAGAGGCGAATTCTTAAATGCTTTATTTGTTTCCTTTCTCCTTTCCAGCACTTCTACCACATTGCGTTAGGGTCAAGGCCGGAAAACCATACTGGATGCTCGTGATCTTCGGGCCCTTAGACGGCACTGCATCACATACAGGAATGTCTGAAAAACATTTGATATGTCATCTATGTTGTATTCTGAATAAAATATTGAAATTTGAAACTTCCACATTGCATTCTGTTTTTATTCACAATTTGTACAGTGTCCCAACTTTTTTGGAATCGGGTTTGTATATACAGTATATATATATAGTGAGTTCATACAGTCAGTATTAATAACAGCATAGTGCTAGGCTAAAAAAGGATTGCACATTAACGTAAACTGGTGTGTAAAGCTTCACATTTTAACCCTGCTTCAAATATTGTGTTTCCTTCTTCCTGGACATGCTCTCACTCAGGTCGTCTTGTATGACTGTGACATAAGGGAGTATGAGCTCTCTGGGGCAGACAGCGTTTCTCTCCCCATGCTCCATTTCTCAGCTGCCAGACAAGCCGATCAATAAAGCCTAGCAACGGAGCTTGCAGATAAAACATGTCCGCAGTAGGTACACAATGATAAATAAAGTCCTGCTCGAGAACTGTAGCTATTGGAAAATGCTGTTGCTCGGGTAACACCGAGAAGTCAACAAATTAACTGTTGTGACACAAGCCTGTGTAGATAAACACACAAATATATAAAAGATTTCTATTTCAAAGTCTGCGTTCTTTTAAAGTCTGCGTGAACCGGAAGTTGCTGCCGACTTTATTTCAGTGCAGTAACGTATTTCCAGCTGAAACGGAATATTGAATAGAGGGCGTGGTTTTAATTTTGCGCTTAAGGATATTCTGCCCAAGCCGTCAATCAGAAGTCATCAGAGAAGGAATGCCATTCCAGAGCGGAAGTAAATGTTCAGATTTTGATTAAAGATTTCCAAGACAAACAATTTTTTTCAGCGGATTAACTTGCACGGATTAATTGTTCACATCAAGACTAGCTGTATGCACTAGTAAAGTAAATAAAGTCCATTTTGATTTCATGCCGACTTTAAACTTTTCTATGGAGCAAAACATCCTGGAAAATAAAATGTATCATGCTTTCCACAACAAATATTCAGCAGCACAAATGTTTTCAGCAATGATAATAATAATACATGTTTCTTGAGCAGCAAATCAGCATATTAGAATGATTTCTGAAGGATCATGTGACACTGAAGACTGGAGTAATGATGCTGAAAATTCAGCTTTGCTATCACAGGAATACATTACATTTTAAAATAGAAAACGTGTGTGTGTGTGTATGTGTGTACCTGGTATTTATGTGAAAATGTGTGATGTGACATGTGGCCAAGTATGGTGACCCATACTCGGAATTAGTGCTCTGCATTTATCCCATCCAAAGTGCACACACACACAGCAGTGAACACACACCCGGAGCAATGGGCAGCCATTTTTGCTGCGGCACCCGGGGAGCAGTTGGGGGTTGAGCACTGTACATTCACTCCCCCCACCTACAATCCCTGCCCGGTACGAGACTCGAACCCACAACCTTTGGGTTACAAGTCTGACCATTAGGCCACGACTTCCCACATTCCCCAAATGTCCCCACGTGTGTGTGTGTGTGTGTGTGTGTGTGTGTGTGTGTGTGAGGTATAAACATATAAAAAATAATTTAATACATTACAGTACTGTGTTAATACTGTTAATGTTACATGTACAAACTTCATATTCAATTTAAATCATTTGTGTTGCACATTTCACATAAATATGCTGGTGTTACATGTTTGTTTTTTTCTCTTAAATTTTTCTCTCAAAGTTGTAACACTCTTGTTTTATACAAACAGAACTAACAGTGTTTTTGTGTATCTTACAGGTACTACTCCTCACCATACAGCATCTCCACAAACCGCATGATCGCTCAAACGTCAATCACTCCATTCATCGCAGCCTCTCCTGTCTCCACATATCAGGTATGATCACAGCATATACACAGCATTCAGAACAAACACATGCTGCAGGCAAACAAACTCACATGTTTACATTTATACAGTGGCCCTTAGAAACATTTGGACACTTAAGATGTCTTAAAATATGCATTTGTTTTAAAGACTGATAGCACAGTTCCTCAAGCAAAACATTTCACAAAAAAAGTGGTGTGTTAAATTAACTTAAAAATAATTACAGTAATTCCTAAGAAGAGTGTAATTTGTTCTGAGAAGAGGTTTAGCACCAGTTTTTTGCAGATGTTTGATATCTAATGCAATGACATTTAGGCATTTTTAAGTGAAATTTGAGTGTCCAAATGCTTTTGGAGCCACTGCATACAAACACAATTACATGCAAACACAAACGCAATTTGTGTCACACACATATGAGGAGAGCATGTGGAGGTATAGCGTGTTTTTCATCACTCTCTGTGTTTGCTCTCATGTTAGGAACGCTTATTAACGCTGTTCTCCAGCCCTGCAGTCAGACGGAGTGAGCAAACAGTGACTATGAGCATCCTTAATTGATTTGGCTTAAGCTAAACCAAACAAAACATTGCTGAGCGTAGAGAATAGCTAAGCCCTTTAGATCATGTACCTCCCGTCCTCGCGCAAACACACCGACACACACATATGCGAGCACAAGTGCACAAATACAAACCACCCACGCTGACCGGAGCGGCGCCCTAGTCTTAGTTTGCGCTCTCAGCCGCACGTTTGTTATGATAAATTCTGCACGCCACCAAGGTTATCTCTTAATCAAATTTCATGTTATCATGTGCAAAAGTGCCCCGCTGGCCGGCGAATTAATTTTTAAATTGCAAACTGTGCTGAACCCGCCAAAACGAGTTCAAAGCCAAGCTGACAGGAAATCAATGCGCTACTACCTTTATTTCTCCCCTAGTCTCCCCTAGAACTTCGAGAATGGAACAAGAGACAAATGTTTCCATCTCCGGCGAAAGGACAGAGAGAAGGAGAGAAAGAGGGAGAGCAGAGCGAGAGCATGAATCTTTTAACAATCGGGGGGAGAGAGAGGCAAGGTGTGCGCTTACACATCTTAGTGGACTTAGTGTGTTGAGAGAGAGAGAGAGAGAGAGAGAGAGAAGGACGCCCTAGGCGGATCACAGTGATGAACAAATCCCAAAGGCTTTTCTTCCTAGAACAACATAAAAGGACACCGCATATAAATTTAGACACCTACAACCGTTCAAACACACATTCACGAAAATAAATGCATACATCCATCCTCTCAGACAAGAAGTGACCAGTTATTCTCAGTCCGTGTGGTATAAAAATAATACGCGTAACTGTGTTATTTTAGTGTTGTTGTTTTATTTATTTTAATAGAATTTTTTTATTTATTTAAGTAAAAGTTTTTGTAATTTTGCGTGTTTTTCATTTTTATTATAATTTTTTAAACGTCTATATAGTTTTTTTTCATTTCTATTTCAGTTTTAGTTAACTATGTACATCTGTTGTGTGCATAAATATATAATTATATCATGTATAAGTGTATAAATATATAAATAATACTCAAAAATATAGTTATTTTAGTATTATTTTTATTTTTTATATTTTCAGTTTTCATTTTGATTTTAGTTATAGTTTTTGTAACTTGGTTGTGTGCGTTTGGCATTTTTATTAGTTTTTTTATATGTTTTACATTTTTTAGATCTAGTTTTTATTAATTTTTATTACAGTTTTTGTTTTATTTATTTTAGTCTCTTCTGTGTGTGGTATAAAAATAATAACCAAGCATATCGTCTCAGGTTACGTATGTAACCCTAGCTCCTTGAGGGAACGAGACGCTGCGTCGGAAACGCTAGGGGAACGCCCTTCAGCGTGACGGGCTCTGAACCTCGTGTGTAATCAGACCAATAGATGGGCGAGATGTCACGGCGGGTGACGTAATGACCAGGAAGCTATAAAAGCACGTGCGGTGAGACCAGCGTCAGCTTCTAGGAATGAAGCAAGCGCTGGCAGGAACGCCGCAAGTATGGCACCGCGACGCAGCATCTCGTTCCCTCGAGGAACTAGGGTTACATACGTAACCTGAGACGTTCCTCTTCAGGAACTCGAGCTGCGTCGGAAACGCTAGGGGAACGCAACTGCCCACGCCGCCAGACTTCTAAGTCTTTGCCTAATGTGGAAGACTGCACAGCTAAGGCGAGAGAACAGAAGAGCCAGGATTGGCTCGCATGTCTAGGTCATAGAACCTGA